CACCGCTGTGATGTGTGAAAACTCGCTCAGAGAGAGAGAGAGAGAGAGAGAGAGAGAGAGAGAGAGAGAGAGAGAGAGAGAGAGAGAGAGAGAGAGAGAGAGAGAGAGAGAGAGAGCCCTTTAACATTAATCAGAAAACCCCTGCGGGTAATCCTAGAGGCCCCTGCAAATAATTAGCAAGGGCCTCCTCTCCACGAAAGTGGCACTTCTCGAACACATTGCAGGGCAGCAGCACGCCAACTATATATGGTGTAGATTCGCATTAAGGTCCGTGTTTCAGCAGTTATGGGAGCACGGAACACGTGATTATCTGGGCAGTAGCAGGCCAACTCACCACGTTATTTTCAGGGCTTCCCTCCACTACTCACCAAATGTGCAAAACTAGAATGAATCTTCTGCTAGAACATGGAATCATACGCCGCCATATATTTTGTCTTTCGTGCAAGTGGTGACGAGTGGAGCCAGGCCCTTAGGGCCACTGCTCGTAGGAAAAGGAAAACAAAAGAATGAAAGAGAGAGCAATGGCAAAGTCGTTGTAGGCTTGTAGCCCATAACTGCTAGAACACAGACCTGAATACGGATCCAGAAGATATATTGCTGGCCTGCTCCTTGCTCATCCGAAATTCGTCGAGTGTCTCCGCTGAGATATAAAAACCCTGCAGATTCTCTGCTGGGGGCCCTTCACAATAAAAGCTAAGAGCCCTGCAGATTCTCTGCTGGGGGCTCTTCACAATAAGAGCTAAGAGCCCTGCAGATTCTCTGCTGGGGCCCCTTCAGAATAAAAGTTACACGCAGTGAGGAATACGGGGCCCTATTTCCTTTTTCTCTGCCCTTAAAATCTGTAGGAGGGAGGGACACATCTGGCTACCTCAGACACCCCCAATACCCCTATACACCCTCTAAACACCTCCAAATCGCCCCACAACACCCTCATTACCCCCCCGCAATACCCCTTACAACCCCCCTATACCCCCCCCCCCCCCCCCCTACCTCCCCGCATCCCCAAAAGTTTCTCAGCGGATTTGGGCTGTACTCAGCAAGCGCAGTACAGCCCCTAACTCAGATTTGAAAAAAAATCAGTGGATGGCTGTTTTCTGACTGGTCGGCAGACCGCTGACCGCTAGGCCCTACTGGTCGGCTGCAAAACGGTCAGCGGTCGGGGTCGGCAGTCGGCAGGCATGCAACCCTGTACATATATTGTCACATATATATAGCGTCACAAACACAACTGCCCGGTAAACCATAGGCAGAGAGAGACTATATAACTGCCCGGTAAACCGTAGGCAGAGAGAGAGAAGAGGACAACAAACGAGGGGCTGTGACAAACTGTTTCGTCGGAGTTTCACCGACTCATCAGGAGGC